CAACCCCTTTTTACTCTACACATCTCTTTTTAAATACACACCATAAATAACTTAAAATAATTAAATTTACATTTTACAAACCTCTATTATTCCAAAATTACTTTTAACTGTTTACATAAGATTATTAATTCTTTACAACTTCATTTTTATTTTTAAATCCATCATTTCATTTTAATCTGTTACTTTAATATTTTCCATTTTCTATCTCTCCCTTTTTTTTTTAATTGAAACTTTAGACATGAAGCATTTTTTTCATTAAAAAAAATACTATTACCTTGTTCTTAGAAAAATAAAGGACATCTACTAGAGAAAATTTACTATTACATTCCTAAATATCAACGTAAAAAAAAAGTAAATTTACTGTTAAAAGTTTTCTGTAGCAAATTCCTTTTATTTTTCTAAAAAATGTATTAGTAATTTTTTTTTATATGTATGATAAAAGGCTTCATACTTAAAGCTTCAACCAATAATATAAAAAAAAAGAGCAGTGATAACATAAAAGTAATGAATTAAAATGAAATGTTGTGCGTGCAAAAAAAAAAAAAAAAAAAAAAAAAGTCGCCAAGATCTAATAATCTTTTATGGAAATATAATTTTAGGGTAGTTTTGAGATAATAAAGGTGTAAAAAGTAAATTTAATTAGGTATTTATTCTACTTTTCACACACCCGTTCTTAAGTCACTCTTCATTTACTCATTATACCCCTCTTAAAATTTCAAAAATATTTACACCACCCACTCACTGACCAAAGTTTATATTTTTTTTCTTTTTATTTTTTTTTAGTAATCATTTCCTTTTTCAACCATATTTGTTCATTTCTCATTCTCAAGAAAAAAAAGAAAAAAGGAAGCTTTGGTCGAAGACTTGTCAATTTGACCGTCTGAAAATAATACTATATCATAATTTTTCTCATTGTGCATATGTTTTTCACTGGGAGATCATGGATGATTTTGGTAGTCATATCTGATTGGTTTGCGTTCAAAACTTTCGTTGATTGTTGAGATGCGGAGGATCTACATATGTTTTTCAATGTTTTAACTCGTGACTCAAATGTGGGAAAATGCCTTTATTCCTTCCAACATTGTTTCTAATTGAGTCAAGTATCCATTCCTAAAACCACAATCAGCTCTCCACATGGCATTTTGATGTAATTCCTGCAACGATTCAACCAATCGAGCATCATCCTCTTTCATAGTCCAGTAATGCTTGTTCATACCTCTTCCTCTTTGAGCCATCCTGTACCAATTCAAGAGTCAAACTCTAAAGTGCATTTTTTTTTTCTTTTTAAGAAATTAAAAAGTATATATAATCAGCACAATGCAGCAAATGCTTACCTATCCATTGTGTAATTGTGATACACATATCACATCACTCTCATAAACCAAGTTGTACAGATATTCTAGCTGTCTGTAAACTTTTACCATCTTACTTAGAAACTAGTTTGGTAGTGCTATAGATTTAAAAAAAAATATTGTTAACTGTGTTGAAAAAAAAATAGTTGTTACAAAAAGTAGTTAAGTATTTAGTAAATTGTAATTATATAAGTATTAATTTCAGGGGTATTATAAAAATTTCATTAATTATACTTTAAGGTGATTGCCGCACAATTTAAAAGTTAAAATTACCTTTAGACTGCTTCTGATTTTGACTGTAAATTCTTTAAAAATTCTTTAAGAATCACTTTTAGTGGTTTTTATCAAAGATAAATTTTAACTGTAAATGGCTAGATAATTAATTTTGAGCTCCAGAAATCACTACCAAATATAGCCTTAGATTAGTAATAAGTCTTTTTTTTTTTTCTACTTAAGCAAACACAAGCATAACTAGCGGCACAAGCTTTCAATCATAGTCCAAAGCATAATGATTAATATTTTTATTGTAATAAGCAACTTCTTTGTTGACAAAGATAGGCGAGCCATTTGTCTACAAGGCATAAAAAGCTTGTCAATTCATCAATGCATGTACAACTTTAACACAATTCAAAAAATTAAAAATAAAAATAAAAAACAAGTAATTAGCTATCATAGTAATTCATTGCTGAAGAAACTCTAAGCAGGCAAATGTCAATATTAAAGTACATCACAGTAAAGCATGCCAAAAGAGCCAAGCTTCACAGACTCAATTAGGTTATATCTTTGGGACTACATATATAGAAACAAAGACTCGTTGAAGACGTGTATCAATTGAAGACAAAAAATGACCAAAGCATAATCACTTTTTTCACAAAATGGACATTGCATATAACTAGGAACCAGATCCTTCATTGAGGATTTTTATTACTAAAAGATCAAGAACATTTAGAACAATCATCTAGAATTGATTTTTTTTTTTAAGTAAGAAAATTGCCAAACTAAAAATTAAAAATAAAAAATTCAGAGACAAAGATTTCAAAATTTCAAGCAAATCAAAAACAGGACAAAGATTCACTCGACACTAATTCAATCTCAGAGACAACAAGAAACAAAAAAAAATTCAAAATCATGCAATCATGCAACCACTAAACAAGAGCAGACAACTGCTGCATAGAAAAGTACATCATATCAAATCGTTGAAGTTGTGAGCAATAATGCATAAGAAAAATAACAGTTACTTGCTATTATGTTATTTTTAGCTCAATTTTCATTCACCAAGGAAACTCACGACAACCTTATTGGATGAAATGAATTTCTGCAATATAACGTACAGTAACAACCTTCTTATCCGAAACAAAGAATGACGAGATGCCAAGCAATTAGAGCGTAGATCGAGGATTGATTGGAAACTATCCAGAAAATTTATTTCATGCCAATTCTTTTCATATAAACCAAAAAAAAAAAAAAAAAAATTGAAATATAAAACACTGCAAAATGCACTAATGAACCAGAAAAATTAGAAATTTGGAGCAAATTCATATAAACAAAGAAGCTAAAATATAAAAAAACTACAAAAAGCACTTATGAACAAGAGTTCACCTCAGATCAAAACCTCAATTAGAAATTTGGAGCAAGTTCATATGAAGAAAGAAGCTGAAATATAAAAAAACTGCAAAAAGCACTGATGAACAAGAAATTCATCTCAGATCAAATCCTCAATTAGAAATTTGGAGCAAATCTGCAGTTGCAAGTTGCGAGTTCTTCAAAAATTGCAGAGAAATTCACAACAATAAGAGAATTTTGGGTGTTCTCATGATTACATCATGATGAGTAGAAAATAGTTATTAAAACACCGTATTATATAATAATAATACAATAAAATATCCATCGCACAATATTTTTTTCTTTATTTGTTTTTTTAGTTATTTCTCAAGTGTTCTATGTTCCTAGACATCTTTCTTACAACATGCTTTTTAAAATTTTTTTTCTTTATTTATTTGTGTTAAAATAATTTCTTTTATTTACTTATTTTATTATTACTTTCAAAAAATTCCTTTATAACTTAATTCTTTTTTTCTATCTTTAATCTCTATATCTGATCTCAAATCTCTGATCTTTACTTGTAATATCTAATCTCTAATCTCTAATAAATAAAGAAGACAATATTCTTTCTTACACCAGAAGAGGTCCACACGTCGCCTCGCCTCATTTTTTCTCTCTTTTATTTAATCTTTACTCCTTAATTTTCTTTTCTTTTTTTTTTTTTGCTTTTTATTTTTTTCTCTTATTACCTTTTTGGTTTTTTTTTTTTCAAGTGCTCTGTGCTCCTAATTTAACTTTTTTACAACATGCTTTTTTTTTCCTTGAAATACTATTATTTTCTTGTCTATTTGTTTTTTGGTTTTTTTCCTTAAATGTTTTGTACTTGTAAGCATTTTAACTTTTTTACAACATGCTTTTTTTAAAAATACTTTGCTCCATTAACTTTTTCGTATTAAAATAATTTCTTTTAAATAATTTCTTACTTAATTTTTATTTATTTATTTTTTAAAAAACTTTTCTACAACTTAATTCCTTTTACATTTATAATCTAACGTCTAACAGCTGATCTAACATAAATATAAAGAGTAAAATTTCCATTTGGACTTAAGGAGGCCACTTGTTCTCATTATTTTTCTTCTTCTTCTCCTTCTCCTTCTTTTTTTTTTTTTAACTTTTCCTCTTTTCTTCTTTTTTTTTTAACTTTTTTTATTTTTCTTTTCTTTTGTCTATTGTCTTTTTGTTTTTAAGAAAAGATCACAAATACCCCTTAAAATGCATAAGTCTTGGATTTTTATCCTTTACACTTGATTAATACCCTTAATCAAAAAACTATATTAGTCAAAAGAGTATTAATTAAGAGTAAAATGTAAAAATCTTAGAACAATATATTCAAAAAGTGAGTTCATTAATTTTCTCTTTATTTTTTTTTCACTAATATTCTTTAGTAGTTTATTTTTTGACAATATCCTTTATTGAAATATTTTTTTAACTTTCTTTTAATTAAAATATTTTCTTTCAAATATGTCCTTACTTATTTTTTTTTATAAAAAAGATCCTATATAACTTCAATTTTATTTTTCTTTTTTAGCTTTTCCTCTTTCTTTTCTTTAACTTTTTTTTATTTTGCCAATTTTCTATTTATTTTTCTCCTAAAATTCTTTGGCAGTTGCAATATCCTTCTTTGAAATTTTTTTCTCATTTTCTTTTAAATTTTAATTAAATATATTTTTTTTACTATCTCTCTATTTAAGTTTTTTAATAAAAAAAAAAATCCTATATAATATTGGTTTTCTGGTATGATTTTTTAAAATACTTTTTTTTCCCTCGTTCTAATTAATTAACTAACCATGTGTTTTAACACAGAATCAAACCTATAAAAACCTATAAAGTTATTCTCCGCGACTACGGAACTAGTAAACTTGGAAAAGACATCAAACATAAAACCGACGTAGCAATGGACTGACACTCTCTCTATTCTGTGTAGACTTCTTACGTGTCGCTTAGAGGACAGCCCCCAATTGTTTGGAGCCCTCAGTTCCACGCCACGAATCCCAACTCTAACAGACTTGTTTAACACCAATCACCTCTCTCTCTCTCTTCTTTCTCTCTCTAACTGATGGTTTTTCCTCGAAATTTGAAAACAGGAATCCCATTCCCTAATTGGACAAATTCATTTCCAGTTCTCTCTCTCTATTCTCTCTTCCTTTAAATCCCGTGACCAATTCTGGAAAATTCCAAAACATTTCTTTTTTTCGACAAAACAACAGAGCAAGAAGGCCTTTCATGGCGGGCTCGAGGCAGGGCATACCTTCGTGGATAAGCGCGGCGGCCACCAGAGTCGACTTCGAAGGAAGCGCTTCGTCCATGTCGGAGACCGTCTTCAAAGACGCCGCCGCCTCCAAAGAACCGTCCTCCTCCTCCAATTCGAAATCCACGGCTGACGCCGATTTGGGGTTCGCGGAGAGGGCTTTCTCCGCCGCCGGTGCCGCCCTTGTCTCCGCCGTCCTCGTTAACCCTCTCGACGTCGCCAAGGTAATTTCTATTTCGAAACTTCCCTGTTTCTTTCGATTTTCTTAGCTGCTTCTAGGATATTCGAAAATTTGTTGAATTACTTTCTTTAGGGCTGTTCATGGGTTGGGTTGGTGCGGGTATGATTTTTTTTTTCCGCTTCAAAAGGTGCGGGTTGCACATATTTAGTCCCAACGATATTAGAAAAATTTTACAACCCAACAATGTTCAGGTTGGGTTAGAGCGGTGCGGAGTGGGTTGAGTGGTCGGTTTCAACATTCAAAAAATTAAAGACTTAAAGTTCAATATAATATTCAAACTTCATCCTTAAATAGAAATAGAAACTATCCTTATCAGTTTGGCGAGATAGCACCGGAGAAAGTGAGCAAGATGGCGGCCGAGAGGACTGAGCAATGAAGAGAGAGTTATGAGGGGATTCACGGGAGGAGAAGAAGAGGAAAAACTGAAAAGGAAGAGGCAAGAAGAGGGGAGACCGAGAATGAGATTGTGAACCCTAATGTTAGCGAGCCTAGGGTAGAACTTAGGCAATTCGGCTTGAGCTGAAAGCTTAGGGGTATGTTGTGCGGGTTGGGTTGGAGATTGCGGGTTGTTATGGACCCAACCCGCAATCCGCCCCAAACACTTTGGGCCAGAGGTATAATGAGCTGCAAATTTAAAAATAATGCTGCGGGTTGCTTTTTTCAACTTGGGTTGGGGCGGGGTGAATTGGATTTGCGGGTTGTTCGGGTTTATGAACAGCCCTAACTTTCTTCACCTTTTTGTATTGAAATACAATTTTATAGGTGAAATATTGCCTGGTCTAGATATTAGTTATTAATCAAACTCAAATGTTCAAAATGGTGTTCCTTTTAATTACCAAGTTAATTAAACTATAGTTAATTTCGTTCAGCTTTATGAAAATTCGTATATTCCACCTTTAAAAAAAAAAAAAAAAAAAAAAAAAAAAAAAAAAACCCCTTTTTTTTAAAAAAAAAAAAAAAAAAAAAAAAAAAAAACACACACCCTTTATCTTTGGTAATCCGAAGAACATTGCCACACACTTTTATAGGAGAAAGTTTTAGCATTAACCTGGTCTGGAGTAATTACTTAAACTTGAATGTTTGAAAATGGTGATCCTTTATTATATGATTTTAACTAGTATGTTGATTACGTTATTGTTAATTGGTTTTATACATGCATCACCTCCAGACACGGTTGCAAGCACAAGCTGCCGGGATTCCTTATCAGGGGATATGCGGTACTCCATGTTTCGAAACTGCCACGGTACGTAATATGGTAAAACATAGTATTGTCTTTTACATACGTTATTTACATGCTGTTAGTGATAAAGTTGTATTAAATTGGGTTTTGGATTGCTTATTATTAGGTGCTTCCGGATTTGAAATCTTCTGCATCTTATACGCGTTCGGTTCTTGGGTCTGAATCCTTGTGCCGTCCAGAGTGTGGTAGCCACTATAAAGGAACATTGGATGTCTTGTATAAAATCATACGTCAGGTTGGTGGGCATGTGCCATTCATCATTTTTTGTGAATTACAGGCTTGTTGGTTTGTTTGTTATCACAATAAAGTTTGGTCAGAAAATTTATTTGTGATTGAAGGTTTATAAAGGGATTGCACCTTGCAGGAAGGTTTTTTGAAACTGTGGAGGGGCACAAATGCAAGCTTAGCACTCGCTGTACCAACTGTGAGTTTCTTTCTTAGCAAATACCCCTCCTCTCTCTTTTTATTTCCTTATATGGCTCAACAATGGAAGATTTTACAAAGATTTTTTACATGCTATGTTGCTTAATTGATTTTTACAATGTCCATCAGGTGGGGATCTACTTGCCTTGCTATGACCTTTTTCGCAATTTTATGGAAGATTTCACTGCTCAAAATGCTCCAAACTTGACTCCATATGTCCCCTTACTGGCAGGATCTGCCGCACGATCATTAGCTTGTGTTACTTGCTATCCTGTTGAATTGGCGAGAACCCGCATGCAGGTACGACTGTTGTTTAACATTACTATCTCATACCTGACATTAATTTTGATTTTTGTTGGTATTTTATAAGAGTTAAATTTACCATGGTTATCATCTGATTCCACATGCAATGGGCTATATGCTCATGATCATCAGATCTTTCCATTTACTTACAGGAACCTGATATCAGAGTTCATACCATAAATTCTTTTGCTTTCGTACAGTACACATATAATAAGTTTAGAATCTGATACCTTTGCCATTAACTTAATAATTTATGGAGAATGATTACTTGGTCAAGGACGAAGTTCTCATCCCAGTCTCTTTCTCATTATATCATAGGCATTCAGAGAAACCCAAACTGGAGTCAGGCCTCCTGGAGTTTGGAAGACACTGCATGGAGCCATTACCCCTGTGACGAGCACAAACTTTCTCCAAAATTGTAAGTTCACTCCTAATTTGATACTTTGAACGAGTTGTAATGATCTATCTAATATAATGACAATGACAGACTTTGATAGTAGCTGAATTTTTTTATTTCCAGAACTATACTTTTCTTTTTTGGCTAATATTTGGTGATACCTTTTTTCTTAAGTACGAAGATATCGTGTCTTGTGGACTGGCCTTGGAGCGCAACTTGCTCGGGATGTTCCTTTCTCTGCAATCTGCTGGTCAACTCTTGAGCCGGTGGGGTATCATTTCCATAATTTTTTACTTGATGGTAACAATTATTGTATCTTTTTTAACACCCAGCTTTCTGTCCCTGTTTTTATAGATAAGGAGAAGAATTCTTGGGCTGGTGGGTGATGAAGCCAGTGCAACCACTGTCCTTGGGGCAAATTTCTCTGCTGGTTTTGTCGCAGGAAGCCTTGCAGCTGCTACTACATGTCCACTAGATGTTGCAAGAACACGTCGGCAAATAGAGGTTATTTATCACAGACAGTACTCTTTAGTAACCTAATCCAAGATTTACTTACATTCTTGGTTCATGAGGCATTCTATTTGGTTTCAGAAGGATCCTGGAAGAGTGTTGAAGATGACAACAAGAAAGACATTGATAGAAATATGGCGGTAAGTGCACGACAATTTGTGGTGAAACATCATAGATTATGGATTTCTTAAGAAAATCCAATTAAGGGATTTATCAGTAATGTCTTGAACATGTTTATCTGAAACAGGGATGGAGGAATCAAGGGACTCTTTACAGGAATCGGTCCCCGTGTTGGACGCGCCGGCCCATCTGTTGGAATAGTTATCTCCTTCTATGAAGTTGTTAAGTATGCTTTACAGCAGAGAAGCCTCAAAAGTGATTCAAACTGAACTGCTTCATTTGTTTAGCTAAAAATAAACAGGGAAAGAAGGGAAAAATAATAATAATGATAATAATAAAAGATCTGTCTTTGTCCTTAGGTTTAGGACTCGTGGGGGCCATTTACTTGTTGGTCCCCTTTTTTGCAAAGAAAGCATAGCAATAAGAGCGAGCAGGTATATATATAGCTGCTTGTAAATTCATTCCTGCGTTCATTGGCCAATTCCTTTTTTCATTATTTTTTCAGGCACATATTTTGTTATTTAAATGTTCATTTACTTTTATTCAATGAGCCTTAGCAATTTAATGTTGTATCTTTTTCTTTTTTTTTTTTTATGTCTACCAAGAAAAAAGAAATTAGTACTTATTGGGTAATTGAAGTAATCGAATTGAAAACATAATCTCATGGCCTGAAATTCAAACTTTACTATGAAACGTTTTACATAAGGGAATTTAAATCTAAAACATTGGTGATTATCAAAGAAAAAAAAGACCTAAAATATCGTTATAACATTAGCCAATGGTGGTGATGAAGAAATTTAAAACATCATTTCAAATTTTCATACATCCGGCTCCCAAAAGTTAGAAATGTACAAAGTTAAGAGGGGGGGAAAAAGCAATATAACGAAAGAAAATAAGAAAGAGAAAAAACAGAAGCAATAATGAAATCGAACCTCAATTCATCAAAAACCTATGCACAACCATGAATAGTAAGTAACACATGAAACGAAAAGCAAGAAGAATATTACGTAACATCACATGAACGCAAACAATCCTCCTCTCCTCAGTTGGATAAAGATAACCAATTCCTCCAAAAGGAAAGAAAAACAAGACAAATCTCAAAAACCCATCTCTAATCTAATACGAACCTAAAAAGAACGACCAAAAAACCAAATCAGAAGAAGTTGTATGAAGATGCGTCCAAGGGGTGAATGAGGTACGTGAGGACCAAAGCCACAAGCATCAGCACATACGCAACCCCTTGGTCAATGGAAGTCCCTGAAATGTTGCAAACAAAAACGAAAGAAAAAGAAACACAATGCGTTAGACTTGCACCAAACAGATCGAAAACAAAACCATAATGCCTAAACAATTAAATCGCATTTGTTATACTTATTCCAATACGAGCAGATTCTAGGTTTCTCACATATCTTTTACTATAATTTTTCTTCAAAATTCAAATATGACGATGAATCAAGAATGTATCGAGAAAACTATGAATAAAGATTCAGATCCAGATTTTAAAGATTAAGATTCAGCGAAAAGAATGAGAAAGAAGAAAAAAAAAGGCGAGAGAGAGAGAGAGAGAGAGATTTACCATCGCTAGTGGGAGCCGGCGCGGGAGTAGGGGACTGAGCGCGGACGAGAGCGGGGGAAGCAATGGCGAAAGCGATGGCAACGAAGGCCAAAGCTCGGAGCAAAGCCGCAGAGAAAGCAGCAGCCATTGTTTCTCTGTGTAAAGCTCAAAACCTAGAGCAAGAAGAAGAAGAAGGAAGAGAGAATGTTGCAGAGAGGGAGAGCGCGCGAGGTAGAGAGAGAAACGGATGTGAGGGAGTGCAGGAGCATTTCGCTTTTGGCCGTCAAAAAGAAATCGCCGCCGGGGCATTTTCGGAATTTAGAGTATGTGTGGGCTGTGGGCCCAAATTACTTAACACAGCCATGTGGTGCTTTGCTTTGCTTTGCTTTTGCCCTATTTCTCTCGCTCTTTTCTTTTTTCTTTTCTTTTCTCTGTATGTTCTACTTGAAGGGTTTTTGTAGTGTGACAGCCTGTCACATAAGTTGTCACAAAGCAACTTTCTTTTTAATTATTTTCTCCGGTACGTCTAATGTATCGGTGAATCAGATTTTTTAATTATTATACACATTTTTTAATTTTTATGTGATTTTATACATATTTAAAAGACAAAAAATATGACCTATCAGTATATTAACGTACCAGAGAATGTCCATTCTTTTAGTAGGAAAAAAATAATTACTCAAGCAAATTTGTTCTGATAGGATTAGTTTCTAACTGTTTATTCGGATCAAAATCAAATCAGATTAAAAAAATATACAAAATATATAATTTTTAATACAATCTAAAAGCTAAAAATAAATGATTATGCCCTTTTTTTTTACGATTCAAATTTTATTATTATAATATTTTCTCTCATAAAAATTTAAATTTAATTTTTTATTACAATATTTTTCTCTCCTATATACATATACAGAACGAGTTGTAAAACAAAAATATCCTAAAACAATTCAAATCATCCTCGGATCTACACCTGGTGTAGCTCCTTTGCTCTACTGCCCTTTTGCAACGGGGAAAACGCTCTTGTTTTTGGTATCTTATCAAATTGATCCTTTTGATTGAATTTTGGATTCCAAAATATATTACTGAAAAAATAAAAAATAAAAAAGGCGATTTATGAGTAACACATTCAAATTTGGCCATCAATAACCGATAACTGGTGTTAAAGTTATTTGTAAAAAAATATTTTGATGACTGAAATTCAAATACGGTAAGTCCAAAATATGTTAATGCCTCGTTCACTACGCAGATTAGAATTTTCAATTTGAGTTGAGATGTGACATTTTTTGAAAGCTTTTCACTGTAACAAAAAAAGTTAGATGTGACATTTTCTGAGAGTTTTTTACTGTAAAAATCTAAAACTAAAAACTCGAATCAGTAAAATGAACGAGACCTAAAATTTTTATTCGACTATATCTTATAGTTCAAGTTCAAATTATATTTTAGAGAACCTAAAATATTTTCGGTTGTAAATTTTATTTTCTACTGACAATGATGCACGGCTACAACACAAGAAACACATTTACAAGGCTAGAAAATATGGTTCATATTTGTTTAGAATATATGAGGATGGCCACCATATCTAGCTCGCACTCGTCTCTTAGCCGTTGTTGCCTTATGTCATATTCAACATCTTTTAACGCCCATCAACGTCCACGTATGGTCAAATTTGGTGGGGACGAAACTTGAAATTCAAATTCAAATAATTCAATCAAGTTGATCTTATGATCAGCCAAAAAATCAACTTTGTATTATACAATAAACCCTTCAACGACTTTCATATTGCTGAAATTTTCTTAAGGGACTTGAATATTATTCAAAGGAACGAAGGCCAAAGAGAAGAGTTTGTTTGGAACTTGGGTTTGAACCATGGTTCAAACAGTGTTTCTCTTACAAAATTTAAATTCTAAGTCAAATCATGAACCAAACGGGGCCTAAGACACCGGTTGAAAAATAATCAAGAATCACAACTAATCTTCTTTCAAGGCATTCTGAGTAAAAAGAAAGATTCTTGGAGGCATGCATTGCTAATAACCCTATTTTTTTAATCTGTTTTTTGCACTTACAAAAGGAAAATTCATCAACCATTGTTTAATCACTATTTACCATAATTGGAAAAATAACATAACAAGGCAAGACCTTCAAAACATGCCACACCATGCATCACATGCCATTGGATATTATGCCCGCCACATGGGGCGGTAGCACAAATTCCTTAAAAAAGTATAATAAAATAAGATAGAAACAAAGAAAAACACTACCTAGCGCTAAGGAATGCAGGCCAAGAATCTGATTGCCCAGCTTCAACGATGAGTGGCCAGGATTCCCCTAATTCTCCACCAAGCGACATTAAATGGGACAGAAAACCTGATACAGTGAGATTCTGTATTTCCCTTGGGTTAAGTGACTGAACTTGAAGTTAAGAAATTGGAAGTCCACCAAAAGAAACACAACAGAAATCATCGAAGCTTACACAAAGCAGGAAAAACCCAAAACTCACAATGTAATCAACAACTTTAAATAAATCCTCTCTGTAAATCTACCTTCAGCACCTCCGTCTTGACCTGCAACCAGTGATTTTCAATCCCCTCATCATCAATATGCATTTGTATGCATCTATATGTACATAATTGTTACCTACATTTCTCCGAAGCTCTTAATATGTAAGTGTAACTTACATTTGTTCACACTGCTAATTTTGGGTCAACTGTTCCACTGGCATTGCCTTCTACATTTGTTCACACTGCTAATTTTGTTCACACTGCTAATTTTGGGTCAACTGTTCCACTGGCATTGCCTTCCCCAGTTAGAACATGGCCGGGATCCTGAAGGGCGAAATAACATTAATTACTGGTTATGTCATCTACGTTGAAAATAAACAGGGTGGGGGAGGCAAGCAGGGAAATTACCTCCATTCCCCATTTGATGTAATCTGGGGACTCACACGCCTTATATTCATCAACCAAACTTTCAATTACATCTCTTGATTCGTCAAATTCTGAAAGGTCATTGTCCTGTCCAAATATTGTAGACATTAAAATAAGTTCCTAAATTACAAGCAGTGTGTAAAGCACACCAATCTTACTCACTAGTTAGAAATGAAACAAGCATGAACACAACAAATTCTGAAATAATTCCAGGCAATCATGGCAACTATTAAGAGTAAAGAGAGATGCCACAGTGGCAAGCAATGTCAAATAGACAAATTAAACTTGAAATGAAACTGAAACAAATTATTCTGCGGCTGGCAACTTACAGCAAACATTGGGAACTTCCGGTAATTGTCAAGAAAGGCTTGCTTCTTCCTCAACTTCTCGTACTGGCTCAAACACTTGCTGAAAAGATGTCGGATACTAGTATGACTTGCCAGCATAAGCCCACTGACCTACAAGATGCAACAAGAAAACACTCTTTAGTAATTTTCTTTTTCCCCTACAATCTTTGCAGTTTGAGTTAATATCTTGCATGACAAGAACATAGAATAAATCCGTATAAAAGTAGTGTCATACCCTATGAGAAGTTTGCACATACGGAGACTTTCTTGACAAAGCAACCTACAGAAGGCAGAAAAGTGATCAAATGAATCAAATTAATAATAATAATTAAAAAAAAAAAAAAATGAAGGGAATATGGCAGTTATTTGGTTTTACTGATAATAAATACCTGGATGCTAGCAGGCCCCCACTCAATAAAGTTAACAAGCTTTCTTTCCCGTATCCTCTGCAAACTTTCATGAACCTGATTACAGGGAAAAAAAAAAAAAATCTCAAATGTTACATTCAAAAACTCCTGGACATGTTTGCGTAAAAGCTTCCTTTCTCGGATTCTATACATATGTTTAAACTCTTTATTGTTGCCATACCTGAGTAGGATCCACTTCTCCTTGAATGATGTTCAATATTGATATGTACTTTGCTTGACTAGCTTCCTTTGTTCGAGCATACGAGGAAACCATAATATTTTTTGTCTGCAAAAAGAGACTAATGTCAGCCGATTACGTAATTTATCTTTAGAACCTAATAGAAAGTTTCTTGCCTGCAGAAGTCTTCTCATAACATCCAGTACAGTGGTTTTACGAATGACATTGGCCTGCCAAGAAGAAATATTGCATTAGACAGCTAACAATCTACTATAGAACTACAAAAGGAAATTAACTCATAAATCAGGTAAGTTCAGTTCACAACCTACCCTTCCTGCTCCTCTATATACATAGATACATCCAAATGCAATACTTTGATAAATAATTGAATGAAACTTACCTGGCGCTCCACTGTGAGTGGCGTATATCCCGTCATTAGAAAATGGCATCTTGGTGTTGGAATTAAAGATGCAAGAAGACCAACCAAGTCATTGTTCATGTATCCTGGATACCTCAGAGTAGTAGTGCTGGCAGACATTACAGTAGAAACCAAAGAATTTGTTTGAGCAAAGGTGGGATTTGAAAGATGAAGGCGCTCAACAGCAATTCTATTTAATGCAGTGTTATCAAGAACAACAACACAATCAGCATTAAGTGTTAGTCGCTTGAGTGTCAAAAGTGAGTTGTATGGCTGGACCACCACATCGCTCGTTTCCATCTGATTAGGAAACACACTGTATGTCTGAACCAGTTTTTTGCTATACCGGTCATTCAGAGTCTCCAACAGATATGAACCCATACCTGCATTATAGAATTGGGAACCCTCAACAAATGCAGACACTGAAGTATCAAAGATGATGGTGAGTAGATCATAGTACCAAAGCAACCTTTTCATAGAGAAAAGAATAAAGACTGCTACGAAGATTTCTGGATGGCAATATAAAATAAAACATCTTTAAATTTCTAGTGTACTCTTATTTGTGCAATGCCAGCTTGGCAGGGATCAATTTTTCTCATTTAACAAAATCTAAAATTGAATCAAGTTTAGTCCTCGCAAAACAGTAAAATTGTCAGTGTCATAGTTTAGCCAATTAGCAAAACATTTTTATCTATAAAATATTATGCAGAAATGGTTCGAAATATTCAACCACATAAAATAATAATATTTATAATTATTAGTAATGATAATAAACAAAGACTGGCGACATGAAGAAACCTGAGCCTGTCCCTCCAGCGATTGAATGGCACAAAACAAAACCCTCAAGACTATCACTCCCATCTGCTTCTCTATCAATCATGTCCATTATATCCTCTTCAACACCTTTTCCCTGATTTTAAAATTCCATGATTCACAAAAATACATATAAGCAAAAACCTAAACATGTATCATACACATGAAATCGGAAGGAATAAGCACTCACATTTGTCTAATTTATCTTTTTTAAACACATGTAACTATATTACTTGAGAGTTGAGAACATTTATTCGGTTATAACAGTAAATTACTCACTATCAGACAAATTTAAGTATTTCCCAAGCCTACGAACACAAAAAAGCTCTCAAAGTGATTCTCATTCTCTCATCACAAGATTTTAAGTCCTTATGTGCCCATTTAATTATTAAGCTAAAAAGACCTCAAAACTTTCTATTTGAAGTTCCAGCAAAACATCAATGGAAAATGTTCTAAACACTAAAACTAAACCCCATAAACAAACCTGATGGTATCCACTAGCCCAATTGTTCCCGGCACCGCCACCATGATCTGAAACAAAGATGTTCTCGTGATTGTAAAGATTCCGGTATTCACTGTTTTGAATTCCATTAATCACACGGGGCTCCAAGTCAATCAGTAAAGCCCGAGGAATGTAATGCTGATCATCGGCTTGATAAAAGAACACGTCTTTGCGGTCACCTCCCTGCAAAATTTCACTCTCAAAACATGGTAAAACAGCGAAACAAACTTAATTTGCAATAGTCCTATGAACTAATCTCAAAAGATTATAAATTTCATTTCCTTCTCAAGTTGACCAATTTTCTTAGCAACCAAACATACCTATCCAAAACCGTAGGAATTTCAATTTAACCGAATAAGTAATAACCACATTTCGACTTAGAAACAACAATAATCCACACATCAAAACCGCAAATAATCTCACTTCCTTTTTCGTTATTGAATTTTCCTCACCTGAGTGGCGAAATCCTCGAGGATTCCATCTTTGCTGATGCCGTGCTCGAGGCAAAGCTGTTTCCAGAATTCCATCCCAATCTGGTTCCCGCATTGTCCGACCTGAAGCGTGATGATCTCCCTCGGCATTTTCTCTCACTTTCTCGGGAAAATTAGGGTTCGTGCGTTCGGATAGAAATGCGAAAATTTCTTCCTTTCCCCTATTGTTGTTGTTTCCTTTTTTTTTTTTTTGGTTTTCGCTTTTTCTTTCTTCTGATCTGGCGCGGAGAATGAAGATTTTTTTTTTTTTTTTTGGTGTTTTTGAAAAGAAGTGTAGCGAGGGAAACAATAATAGAATGGAAAGAAAGAGTGGGAAAAATGAATCCCCGGAATTTGTAGGGGTGGATTTTTGGTTTTGGGTTTTTTGCGGAGTAGTTAGTAAAGTCTGTGAGAAATCCCTTTTTATACTGCGCTTTTGTTTTGTGTGCGTTTGCAAAATTGCAATTGCGCCGGTTTTTTTATTTGCTAAACTGCGCAGCTTTTTTTACTGAGAGAGAGAGAGAGAGAGAGAGAGGAAGAGAGAGATTGTTTGGGCTTTTGGATTGGAAAGAGAAGGGCCAGAGAGAGAAAGACACAGTGGTCGTTTGGGCTTTTGGATTGGAAAGAAAAGGGCCTAGTCACTTTAAGGTTCAGGTACACAAATAGCAAAAGCAAAACTTTTGAAATATTACTAGTAAAATTTTCTGTCATTTTTATATCATTAAAAAATAATTATATCATTATGTAGTATAAAGGGTCAGTTTGGTATTAATTTTTGAAGCACAAATGCACTTATTTAGAGGATGTTTAGTAGAGAGATTCGTTCCATGATTCGAATCATAATTCATAATTCGTTACAGTATTTTCTCTCATAAAAAATTCACGTAAATAAAAAATAATTCAAATTACATTATTTAAATCTTCCAACCAAACGTACTCGCTGTCCACAGCTGTTTATAGTGTTCGGTAAAGAGCGTGAAAACTGATTTCTGAAGAATTTTTGCACAATTCAAAGCTAAGTGCCCAATCTGATGAGAGGGTGCTTCTGATTTTAACTTGTACGGGAATCTGAAATGCACACATTAATGGAACTTTGCAACTACCCATTTTACCCCCGGTGAAATCTAATATTCACTATCTGCCCATTCTTCTTCAGGCTCTCTCCTCTCTCCCTTCTCTCTCTTCTCTCTGCGCTCTCTCCGTTCTCTCTCTTCTCCGCACTATGCTCTCTCCGTTCTCTCTTTTCTCTGCGCTCCGTTTGCCGGTCTCTCTCCTCTCTCTCTCTGTTCTCGCGGTCTCCCTGTCTGTGGTGGTTTCTGATCTCCCAAGCGCGAAACGCTCAGTTTGCCGGTATCCCTATTCTTCCGATCTCCTCCTCCGATTGTCGCCGGTCTCTCTCGCCTCTGTAAGTACTCGATTAATCATCATTTCTCTGGTTTTGGTTCTGATTTGTCTGGGAATTTATTGTTTTCTGTGATATTTTTGTTAGCTGCTTCACTGAAGGGTGTGGGAAATCGGGACACTTTGGGGTTTCGATTTTTGATCTTTGTTTTTGTGCTAATTTCTGCTCAATCATCTTGTTTAGAGTGGCCTAGTAGTTATGTTTTAAATGAGTTATTGATCAATTTGATTTCTTTGTAGCTTTTAGCATTTGCTCTGTCATTACAAAAGTTAGATAGAATTTCTGAAATGCGTATGAACAATGAGCATGTTGTCACTTTCTTTTTCAGCTTTGCAATTATCGAAATCATTGTTATTACTGGGAAACAAAGAAAATTTTGTTATTTGATGTAAATGCTCAAAGGTGTTTATTTTTTATCAACAATGATGTAAATTTTGTTATTTCTGAATTCCTAAAACACGAGCAGAGCTGTTTAATGAACTGAATTCCTTATTCTTCAATCTTTTCTTATTACTGAAAATGAATTTCAACCAACCTGAAGCTCAAGTTTAGCTATCCGAGATATCTGGGCACTTCAAAATCAAATTGATTTTTGATGGCTTTTGCTTACTTTATCGTATATGAATCAACTCTCCCATTTTAATATTCCAAGTGTATTGCTTTCTTTGAAATACGCATAGACCTGGCGATTTTGTTTCAAAGTCCCAAAAGTCTGTCTAGTCTAGCTTTTTGCTGGTGGGGAAACAAGTTTTAGGTGGGGATTTTCATACATGAACAGATGGAGAATCAGAGATGCTCAAAAGTCATGGTTCTGAAAGCCAGTGCTTAGAGGTTGGCAAATTATTCTTTAATTCTCGTGTTCGTATTAGATCAGAGGTGACGGACTGTCATTTCCTTGTCTGTATATACGAACATACATATATAGTTATATACAATTACAGACGCATATTTTCTGATTATTGGTTTTATTTGTTAATATGAAAATTCTAAACAAATACCGTAACAGATTCCTTCACATACAACTGTGAAGGGTATAATACATACAGATAATTATTAACACATGATCCTTAAACACCATTCATAAACTGAAAATCAGCTAATAACAACTTGCTTCTTACACGATACTTTGTTCTCTTTTTTTTTACTTTCTGCAATTTTTACAGGGTGTTAGAAACCTCCACAGGTCATTCTAACCTAAAAACTTCCCAAGTCAGTCAAACCAGAACGAACCCTAGTTCCATGGTGTACCAAAGTATCAAATAATATTTGCCATGAACTCATGCATGGTAGCTAAATACAACAACCATATTTAACTAACGAACAGTGCAAAATATAGTCATCAATAGAGCTGATCCGCATCTGCAAGCCAAAAAAAAAATTTGTTAAAATGTCTGTGGACAAAATATTGACAAAGAAAAACAAAACGATCCAAAACTATCAGACAACGAAGTATTAACTTTATGACAATTCAGTCTTAGCATGTAAGGGGGTGAGATGTTAAATAATTGTATTTGAATATGTGAATATGTGATGACGTGCCAAAACTTCCTGTATCTCCAATCCTGAGATGCTTTCACAACCAAAGAGCTCCTGAAGCTTTGCATCACATAGTATAACCATTTTGTTCAAATGATCCTGAGTGTATGTCCAAGCCGAAAAGAGAATGGTTAGGGCAGCTATTTTTTCCCGCCAGAAATCTCCCCAAACCCATTTTGTGAGCCCAAACTTGGGCCCTCCACCAAACAATATAATCGTTGGAAGGCAGGAAACTATAACTTATGTCCTGTAAGTTTATATATAGGAATGTGTTTCCCGCAAGGTGAAACACATACGCCTTATATAACTTCATTAAACCTGGTTTGTTGTTGTTGTTGTTGTTTTTCAGTTTTGTTGTCATTTTGTCAATGTGGTGTCCTTCATTTTTGCATGTGTTGTCCTGTTCTTGGTTATGATATGCGTGCGTAGATGCCAAGAAAAACTAGAGATGAGAGGCTACTTTTTTGGAGTCTTGCTGCAGAGGCTTTTTTGCTAGAGAGATTGTACGAATATCACGACGATAACCACGGTCGCCTACTAGAATCTCGTCACTATAATCAATGGGCCTCAGAAATGGCCGGTTTTTTTTATGGCTATGTTCCCGATGGTGAGCGTCTTAGGGAGAAACGCCGACGATTGGGTAAGGTATACGCCGCATACAAAATGTTACAAAGTCATACAAGAGTAGGATGAGATTCTACCACTACAACTTTCACCTGTTTCGAGGAGCTGCAGAAAGATCTTTGTAAGGTAATATATGAGATTGATTATACTCACAAAAACAGTGTCATATTTAAATTGTCACAAACTTACCTCTCTACACTGGTTGGGAAGGTTCGGCACATGATGCACGAGTGCTTGCGGATACGGTCGAGAAACGCAGGTTTAATTTCCCACATCCACCGCCTGGTAAGACTTCAATCCATCCATATGATTCTCAATTTATTACCTGTTACAACTTCCAAATTCCAACAAAATTCGTTTAACTTGCACAGGAAAATACTCTCTTGTTGACGCGGCATATGCGAACAATGATTGTTTTCTTGCTCCATACAGAGGTGGGACTTACTACTTGCCTGACTACCAAAGGAGAAGTGGTGGATTTAAGGGACCTAGAGATATTTTTAACTACAAACACTCATCCTTGCGAAACTGTATAGAGCGAACATTTGGTGTTTGGAATGCTAGGTTCCCTATCTTAAGGCGGTCCAATAACACTTATCCAATGACTAAACAAGTACAGATTCCAGTGGCATGTGCAATCTTACATAATTTTATTCACATGGTAAATGAGGAGGACCCGCTTCTAAGTTAATACTACCGTGATGGAGTACCAGTTAGTGAAATAGATCCAACCAATAGTGATGAATTTGAGGACGATGACGATGACGGCAATGTCCCTGAGGGGCCAACAGTAACAGGAGCTACTGTTAGCCGAACAGAGATGGGTCGTTTTAGGGGTCGTTTTAGGCATCGCCTGGCGAATGACATGTGGGTGGAATACCAAAAAAGCCATGGGAGACAAGCTTGAAAGTGCAAATCAGGAATGGGATTCTACCTTTATTACTTCATACTCATGTATCATGTCATCTAATTTTTTTGCAACCTGAATGACTGCTAATATTTCGCTACGTAATTTACATGGCCAAAAATTGGTTCTTATTTTTGTCATAGTGCTAAATCAGAAACAAGGCAACCAAACACTAATTCGAATCACATTTCAGGTTAGAATTAGAATCATATCTATAGACATCCAAATGAAGGTTCCAATCACTATGAATCATGATTCTAATCCAAAAACTCAAATCATCCATGATTCTAATCCTTATATTAAACGAACCCTTAGCTTTTTTTTTGTTAGTTTTTCTCTACTCCAACCATTAGCTAAGGAGACGTTTGGTTTATGGATTAGAATCATGTTATTAGAATCATTTTTGATTTACGTGTATTTTTTGTTAGAGAAAACACTATAGTGAATTATGAACCATGATTCAAATCATGGTTTGAATCATCTAACCAAACGTTCAATGATTAGCTATTTTAGAGAATGCATTCCACACTAGCTAAATATAACTAACATGGAGAGGCTGACCATTTATTTTTTATATTATTTTATTCTTCCAACCATAATAAATGTAAATGTTCTTTTTTAAAATCAATAAAATTATTTATATTTTAAATTCAATAAATATTAAAATAATTTATGTTTAATTAAAATAGAGAGTATGGTTAGAGTGACTCGTTAAAAAATTACTAGCTAAAATAACTTTCTAATTATGGGAATTAGAAGTTAGCTAAAATTTAGATAACTCTCTTGGAAATACTTTTACACAATATGTCTTTAAACTCCAATGTTAAAATATTTCTTCAATTTAACAATATCATCGATATGTTAGTTTACGGTTATTGGGATGACCAATTGTGATATATGTGGGTGGTTACTAATTTATATTAATTGATTTAAGGGATGGTTAATAAAGATAGAAATACCATTACGAATTATTGCAGACTTTCTTTTTTCATCTCAGTAGTACCAATACACATTTAATGATAGTTTTTAACCGTCGTTTGTATCTATCGTTAAATATGGAGTCGTAAAATGTCCACGATAGATGACAAAGGTTTTTATCCGTCATCTAATATGCACGCAGAAAGCACATTAGAGGACGATTTTTCACAAAAATTATCCTTTAATATACACATTAGACGACTGTTTTTACAAAAAAAAATGCCGTCTAATGTAGTTCTTAATGAATATTTCTGTAAAAACTGTCGTTAAAGTCTTTAAAAAATAAAAAAAAATTAGCCGAAACGTAGTTCTTTGCCTAAACAAGGATATTCCTTCAAATGTTATTCACAAATTGTAAAAACATAAATCGTATTTCCTTCAACAACCCACACAAAAAACTTTCAAAGAAACATGTTACACATGTGTAATTAGTTCCAATAATTATAAAATTTCGCGGTCAAGTTGTCACTACTTACAATTCAATAATTATTTGTACTGGCATTTACATGTGCGTGTGTGTGTTTATGCTGATAGAATCCGACCCTACCACCCCGCTCCCGCCCTTGTCACCACCCTAGCTCACCCTCGTCGCTGCCCCCACTCTGTGCATAAATGAATGAAACCCAAAATTCACAATTACCCATCACCCAAAAAAGCAAACCCCAAGACCCACCCAGAAACAAATTAAAGACACAGGAAAAAAGGCACGCGAAGAAACCATGCAAACATATTGTATATTGATCATGGTGATAGAGGGAGATCTTAATGTCCAAGTTAAAGTAAAAATCAATACCTGCATTTGAGATTAGTTTTGTGATTTGATTTCGTTCTAAGGTGTTGGGAATGTAATATTTAATAGTGATGCCCCGTTTTTTGTGTAAGATTTGATGACCCAAATGTTTAATGGCCATATATTGGTTGTTGTTGTTCATGTATTTGGGGTTGGAAAATTTCGGTTATCATGGTCTTTAAATGCCGGTGAATGTTTGAGCTTTTCTTATAGCTACTAGTTAATTTCTAATTGTTTAACATGAACAGCTGGAAAAACTCATTTTCAAATGACATTTATAATGTTCACAAATATTCATTATTTTATTTAAAAAATCTCTTATAATTTAATCTTTAATAATTTTCACATTGAACAAATGCATGTACTTTTGAGTTACATCTACAGCTTTAGAACTACAAATGCACCTTTGGGCCCTACAAAAGCAAGCCCCAAACAGTACTAATCGAGAAGATTGGCTTCATGGAGGGCTCAGAAGAATCTCATGTTGGCAATATTCCCTGTATGGATGGGGCTCTATAGGAATTCGCACTGAATAAAGTGAGGATGAAGAACAATAATTAGGGATGGGGACGGGGATAGAGATAAAATGTAGTGGAACCTTGTCAGGAATGGAACTAGTGGAAAGTGATCTTAAAATGTAGTTGATTTTTTTCTATATTTCAAAATTTTGAATTTCAATTGTGAGCATGTTTAACTAAAAAATTTTAAGATATAATTGAAAAATCGTTAATAAATTTTAGAATATCAGTGATCTTAAACGTTAAAATTTGAAGTTTAATAGAAACTTTTTAGAAAAAATATGTGAAAAGACGCAAAGAAAAAATTTTAGGGTGGGCAAATCATAAACAAAATCATAAGAAAATACTGCCCCTGAGTCGAAGGGGCTCCATTGAACTTTGGCCTAAAAAATTTTTTTTTTTTAAAATATGAGAAAAGTACACAGTTTACCATTTTGTGCATTTATATTTTTTATGTCATTCTAAAATTATTGGATGTCATTGTGAATTTTTATATTCTCTTTATAAATTGAATGACAATTATTTATTTTTTAGTGTAATGACATAAATAATATCTTTTACTATTTTGAGTGGCATTTTTTATTTTTTCTCTATAAAATAAAGAAAAGTATAAATAAAAATAAATAAAATCCCCAAAAAAAGAAAATATCAGTTGAGTGTCTTGTGACAACTTCTTTCTTAATTCCAACATTTTAGAGAACAGCAAAGTTAAATAGCTCAAGGTAGTCCAAAAATTAGTCAGCAATATCTTTGGGGCTAAATGAACACTTTTCTTGAAAAAGAACGAATTCGACGCCTACAAGATCCAATCGCAGATGAGCAGAGACTACAATTTCAATTCAAGATAGCGGAACACCTTTGTGATTTTCTTTTTTCTTCCAAACAGAAAGATTTGTACAGAAATCACGAAAATATGGGAGAAAGGGACTTCTAACTGTCTTCTAATGCTTTATCATTTTGCCGGTTACAATCTTCTATAATGCAAGTCCAAGCTTGTAAAATGCTTTTAGATCCATAAATGTAGTTGGTTGTAATATATAACAAAACCAAAAAAATTGTCCTTTTTTTTTCTTCACCATTCAAAGTAAGATTATTTTGTTTGCATACACAAGTCCGATCCACTACTCTGTTTGCAGAAACACAAACATGATCTGAAAACAAAACTTACAAGAAAAACATCCATAAAAGAGTGTGTGCATTTCATGACCAATTAATTACTTAAGTGGAACAAAGTAGGTACACATTGATATTGGATGAAAGCATCATATTACTTTAGTACATAATTGCTCAAACTACATCTTACACTAGATTGACAAAAAAAAAAAAAAAAATCAAAACAAGCGCAAAATCCACGGCTAAAAGGACTAGGCTTATTTACCACAAGGCATAACAAACTAAAATATAATTTAATGAGGCCAAAGGAAGGCCCCCATGGCATACTTCCTCTTTTGTTCAACATCACCAGAGATTGGCAGGCCATATTCCTTGAGCAAGCAGTCTAGCTTCCACTCGGGCATGATCTCGTAGTCCGCACGTGCGTACCGCGGGTAGTGCAGCGGCATCTGGAAGTACCGGCACCGCTCTCTCGTGTGCTTCCCGTTGGTGCCGCCGCCGCTGGACGCAGGCCTAGCCACCGATTCCATTCCTCCTCCGCTCATTTTTATTTTTTTTATTTTTACCTGCTATTGTATATGCTTTTGGTTTCGTTTCCTTGGAAACACGTCTATCTCTTATTAGTGTCTCACAAGACACTTTGCATTTGTTACGCCGTTCATGTAATCTAAAGGTCTATTTATAGAGGGCTTTCCATTTTTTATTATTTTTTCTCATGAAATAAAAGGGTTATTTAATTTGTTTTATTTTTACAAGGCCGGAGGAATAGTGGTTAATGTAGGGACAAAGAAGAGGTGTACAAGACTTCGTATTTTTAACTGAAAAACCAATGTTTTGATGGGAACCGAAGTTAATTTTTAAAACAAATTGTGGCAATTAGAGATTGTCCTTTTTAACTCTTACGAACTGTAAAAGCTTCTTTAGTATTAATATTCTGATCAATTTTCAGCATTTTTTTTTCCCAAGGCACTCTCTCGATCATGTCGAAATTCTTAGAACAATCCAATAATATCACAAGATTTAGATTTTATAATTTTTCGTGTAATATAATAAATGTCAAATGACACCTAATTAGCTATTGATAAATCTTAAATGGTGGTTATATGATCATACTACAAAGCCTACTATAAGGACAAGTGATGAGTT